CATGATCAATGGCATCAGGCAGCTGGGCTCTATAGGGTATGCACTGGCTAACTTTTCAGAAAGATTCAGAGGCCTTTCTTCCTAGTCTATCTCAGCCCAGAAGATCCAGTGTAACCTATTCAGCAACATCTCTCTTTCTCATTGCTCTGGCATCAATATCGACTCATATTAAACCCTCCAGTGGGTTTTGAGAGGCATTCTCATACCCTGCCTTTGAAAACTTGTTGGAGGGTCCTCTATAGGTCAGTTCTGACTCAGTGGCACACCGCCACAACAATAGACCACAGAGGAGAAGATTGTGCATCTTTCTCTCGTTGAGTACTGATGGATATGAACTGCCCACCTTTGGGTTAGCAGTGCAACTCCTTATTCACTAGGCCAGCAGAGCTCCCTGCAGTGAACACTGTTGTTGTTATGTGCTGTCATAGTGACCCTCTGAGCAATGACCCTGCACAGTAGCCCTATCCTGAGCTAAGCTCACCTTCTCTGACACACCTGGGCCTGCTGCATACTACTGCCCCTAAAACCAGTTGCCATGGAATTAATTCTGACACCAAGCCTTCTTGGGTAACTATGAGGATTCAAATACCAATGTTGGGTGAGCAGCTGACTGTGTTAACTATGTAAACCCCATAGACTCCAAGAGATATCATGGAAGAGAAGATGGAGAAGAGAGAGGAGGGTAGTCCATTGAAATCTCATATCCGTTCATCCTTGGGAATGGCTCCTAGATGCACAAGTCTTCTCCATTTAGGCCTTTATCACCTGTGGCCTACATTATCTCCTGCCTCTAATACATTTATCCTGCTAAATCTCATACTGTATCACTAAACAGTCCCTGCTAAATACCTATCTATTGTTTACAGAACAAAACTCAGTTTATTTTCCACTATTTTTTTGTGTGTGGTCCTGATTATAAGAATCCCTAGGTGGTGCTGAGAGTTAAACCCTCAGCTACGACCCAGAAAGTTGGAGGCTCAAACCCGCTGAGAGGCAATTTCGAAGAATAGCCTGGCAAACTGCTTCTAAAAGGTCACATAGCCAGAACTGACTTGGAAGAACTAAGTACTCCACATTGAAGAACTCCTGGCAAGGATTGACTACATACTGTAAGGTTGGCAGTTAAGAGTCCATCCAGAGACACTTAGGAACAAAGGCCCGGTGATCTACTTACAAAGATACACGCCACTGAAGACTCCACATGTAGAGCACAGGGAGACCACCTTCCCAAGCTTGGGATGCAATGGATCCAGGTACACACAATAAAGCCAGTCATTCCTGATGCTGTTTCTGGGATGGAATCTTATCTGACAATTCTATTCTGCACTTGAGAACAGAAGAATCTCTGGTTTTCCAAAAGAATGTAGTACATCCTTCGGACCCAGAGATTATTTCATCGGCTAAACCTAAGGCAGCAGCAGCCAGAGGACCAAATACCTAACATGAGATGGAGCTGACCTTAGGACTGCTACTTCTCAGGGAACCAGAGCTAAGAGCCTTTGCCCAAGTTTGTTGGCCAACTGGAGGACTAGGGTGGGAGAAGAGCAGGAAAGTCATAATTGGCAGGACTTAGAACTTTGTAACTCTGGCCCAAAAACATGAGCCTCAAGGCTGAGGTGCTTCTGAGCACATTTCAGAAGCTGTCTTGATTGTATTCTGCTACTAACCTGCATATTAACCTTTTGGCTCCTTCCCCGCTCCCCCAACATTAACTCTCAAGTTTTCACAGAAGTTCCTGCCCCTGCACAGATGGACACCACCCACCTCATCTGAGCAATTCTACTTCTGCATACCTGGCGTGCTTAGCACAGCCCATGCCTGTGGAAAGCTGGCCATATAGCTGTGAATTTGTTTCCAGAACTCTGACAACTTAGGTGGTGGTGAGATGTTAATAATAAAGAGAAAACATAGCTAAGTAATTTTCAACTATCAACTTTCCTCTACAAATATGTTTCTTAAAACTTTCTGCAGATAAAATGAGAAATGTATCAATAACAGCTTTATAGATTTACACCCTCCTGTTCAAATCCTTCTGGTGCATTAAACATTGTTCTAGGCAGGTGTCATTTAGAAGCTTGGTGGGAATATCATGTGAAGACCTAATACCTTAGCCTAAATAACTTTTGTTGTTATGCACTACTGAGTCATAATGAACTCATAGCTGACCCACCAGCACATTCTCAGAGGCACAAGAGGAAATTACCCATCTTTCTCCTGTGAAGCAGCTGCATGTTGCTTTGGGATGGCAGCACAGCTCCTTACCACCAGGTTATTAAAGCTCCTGTCTAAGTAATCTTTAGGATTCTCAAAGGTTAGAGTTAATAGGAGCAGCCTGGAAGACAGGTGGTAGGTAGAAGATAGGGAAATATTTATCAGACAGGATATAAGGCATATTTTATGGTGGGAATTTGAGGGGAGAGTGTTAGAATTGGACCTGAAGCCTGGATAGAGAATGGGATCATTTCTTCCTACTCCATGCTCTCAGGAAACGGAAAATTAAAGTAGGTGAAAATAGAGATAAAAAAGACATCGAAAGGCTTCACACATACTTAAAGGGAGACTAAATCAGGTGCCGTCATTAGGTGATCTCATTTGCATAAAGCCACCACGCAGAAACAGACACACAAGACTAGCAAAAAAAATCCCCAATTATCTCTTGGTGAAACTTCAGAATTGTTTGTTTTGTTTTTTATCTTGGCCTTCTATTTTTTTTTTCTGCAGTGAACACATGTTACATTTGTAATTACACAATTATGCATAGACATACACACATATTACATTTGTAATAAAGTTAGCAAGCATCGCCAGACATATCTTGGAGAGGGTGCAGCCAGAGTGCTCTTTGGAAGCAAGGATTATAAGGCTTCATCTCGCATACTTTGGGCATGTTACTAGGAGGGGCTATTCCTTGGAGAGGGACATGATTCTTGGAGGGTCAGCAAAGGGCAAAAAGACCCTCAACCAGGTAGACTGACACAGTAACTGCTGTAATGAGCTCTAATGGGTCGGGAGGTTTTAGGATGACGCAGGATAAGACAGGCTTCAGATCTGTTGTAGAAAGGGCTGCTATGAGTTGTAGTCAACTCAACAGCACCTAACAACAATGACATGTGCACACATTAACAAAAAAATGGGACATGTGTTCATTCCTGGAGATTCCAGCAGGTCTCCTGTGTCAAAGATACTGAGGCATGCCTCTCAAATCTGTCAGCAGGGGAAACACTGTAATTGGAAGGGGCAGGTCCCTTCTCACAGCCGTTTCAGTGAGGGGGCCAAAGCACAGAAAGAAATTAAGGTTAGTACACACTGAAGGAGTGCTGGTGGTGCAGCATGCAATGCTCGAACCCACAGGCAGTTCAGACAGAGAAAGTCTCCTGTAAAGATTGACACCTGAGAAATCTGATGGAGGGGCTCTACTGACTCCATGGTACTGACTCTATGGCAGTGGGTGGGAAGAGACTGGCTCTCTGGATGGAGTGCTTAGTTGCCACCTGAGAGGCTAGGAGCTGGAATTCAGACAGAGGAGCTTTAAGATAGGCCTGGAGCACATCTTTCAGCAGCACACCTGGGGCTGCTGTGAGTCAAACCACTGCAACAGAGAGACTTAAGACTGCTCAAGTTTCCACCCAAGCACCCTCTTTGATCGAGCAAATAATTGGAGGTCTATGTCTTCTGATTTCAGACTGCATCTTCATTTAGATCTGTGAAAGAACATTACAAATGCCCATACAGTAGATGGGCTTTCATTTCACAGCTCTCTCCTTGGCATTATTCTTGCTGGCTTGAGCATCCCAGCATGTATCCCACCAACAAAAGGTCAGCAGTCCCATAGATCACCAGCCTGCCTTCACCTTGGACAGCTACACCAGCAGGTGCAGGATGTCTGCTCTTTAACCTTAAACACACATTGGGTTCTTAACATACAACAATGTTCTCTCTCTCGCCTTGAAAGTCACCCAAATGAGCAGGAGGACACTTATGGGACTACAGTTGTGTGACTCTTGTGGCTTTTAAAATTCATAAGCAAAGAAAGACCAAGCAAAAAGATCCTTAACCTTTTGTCAAAAACAATGGCTCACAGATATGATCACCTCAGTCCCAAAGTAAAAGCACACTGAAAATTATCTAGTAACTGTGCTTGATAATTATTGATCACATTATTGAAAGAGAGTGAAATCATGAGACAGGACACCTTAGGTTTTCTATGACAAGACTGACTAGATAATTCCAAGGGATTTGGTTTAGCAACTTAATTTCTAAAGACTTCCAGGTCAATGGTTAAGCAGTGGGCTGCCAAGCCATTAGTTAGCGGTTAATGGTTTGCATTTATCCAGTTGCTCTGCAGAAAGAAGACTTAGGAATCAACTTTCACAAAGATTATGGCCTGGGAGACCCTGTGGAGCAGTTCTTCTCTGTCATGACAAGTGGCTATTCTGTTCCACAGCTCTCTCTTCCACAACACCAGGATAATTTAGTCTCCTGAGTCCCCTGCCCCATCCCACTAGAAGTAGTAGACTTCTACTACTAGATGCCAAATTCCCTCAAATTTTTAAGTTGTAACTTTTACCTCCTCCCTTGGCCAATCCGCAAACAAATACCCGAAGCATCACCCTGGAGTGCGTGCAGTCTGAAACCAGCCAAAGCCGCCTGGGCTGAGGGCTTTAGACCTGCTCAGCTGGCCCGGCCAGCAGGGGTTCCGTACACAACAGGTAGCCTTGGGCCTCCTGGTGCCACTTGCCCAGAATTGGAATAGCGGTGTCAGGTGCCCGCACAGGCGCCTGAGGCAGCAACCATACGGGACAGACCGGTTCCCCTTACTTAGAACAGGGATGAGCTGTGCCAAGCTCCTGAGCGATGTGACCGCCTGTCCTGTGCGCACAGCCTGATCCCGGGCGCACTACCAACTCTTCATCCGCAAGTGCTCCGCAGTGACCGCGGTCCCCAGTCACACAGGGAGACGTGGTCATGTTTGCACCGACCTCCGACCGAGGGGACCTTACCGCAGGACCCGCCAGGGCCAAGAGTCTCCGCAGCTCCCCACGGAACCCCAACAGCAGGAGACAGCGTGACCCGTGGAGCTCCGGGATGGCTCCAGAGCCTGGCTCCAACTCCTGGGGAACCTCCATGTCTGGCACCGGAGGGCTGAACTCAAGGACCTTGGGACAGGAGTGCAGGGCGGGTGGACCGGTGGACCGTTGTATCGCAAAAGAGTTGGAGCGTGTGGCAGGACTGCAGGACAGTGGGGCAGCAGCGCACGACCCGCAGACCGCCTGAGCCCTGGAGAGCAGTGCTGCCGGAGCGCGCCCAGCAGCCCAAACCCCACCCTGCTGCCCTCCTGGCGCCCGTGAGTCTCAGGCGGGCGGCGGCGATGGGCGCTTGCTGGGTGCTTGGTGGAAGCTGGAGCTGGGGGCAAGGCAGTGTCTTGAAAAGGCAGTTTGAAGCAGCTCTAAAAAGTAGTATGGGGTGCTCTGGAAGTGTGGAGTCCTGGAGGCCCAGTCCTGCACCTTCCCCAGGCCTGAATCACTGGGGTGGAAAGGCCCGAGACTCCTCAGCTTGGACTCCTCTACTAGGTGCCGGCTCTGCCTTTTCATGTAGGCTACCTGGTCTACAAACTTCGCGCAACAAATGCTTTTGACACTGAGCTTGGAGTTTGCCAATTTTATTCCTTCCACCAATTCTGCCATCAAATAAAGTGGGAACTACCAAAATAGAGAGCTCTACTGAATTCGTATATATACATGAATATGTAGACTCACATATATGTGTATATAAACATATATACTTCTCCATCTCTACATGTGCACACATACATATACACACATATATTAACACGCACAGAAGCTCTGGTGGCCTAGTGAGTACGCATTTGCACTGGCAAACCAAAGGCAGGCAGTTCGAATCCACCAGCTGCTCTGTGGGAGAATAGACAGTCTCTACCTATGTGAGCACAGCCTCTGAAAACACACTGGAGGGTCAACTGTGAGTCAGTTCCAACTCAAAGACAATGAATTAGGTTTTTTTTAGTAAATTGCACATGTATAATATTGAATAGACACATTTATCTTTTCTAGAAGCTTGGAAGTAGGAGTGGCATCCACTTCTGAAAAGCTTGCCTCTGCAAACCCTATGAACCTGGAGAAAGGATGAAAATTATACACGCTTTCTTTTATAGGGTCTCTGTGAGTCACCTACAACTCGATGGCACTTAACAACAACAACAACAGCATAGAGAGAGATCAGTTGGCCTAGTGGACAGAAAATGATGCTACCAAGCCAAAGGTGGATCTTAGGCCTGTTTTTAATTGTTTTTTGTCAAACATTCTTCTACGTGGTATAGCACTGGTCTGCCCACTTGCTGTGCAGAGGTAACTCATGGTTGCTGTGAAGCTGAACACAGTGACATTGATGTGTCAAATGCGATAATGGTTACACATGGTGGACAGTGTTTGGGGGAGCTCCCCTATTTAAACAAGCTTGGAAGCAGGAGTGGCATCCACTTCCAAAACAGCTTGCCTCCAGAAACCCTATGAACCTGGAGAAATGATGAAAGTTATACAAGTCACTCAGTTCTTTCATTCATAGGGTCTCTTTGAGTCGCCTATGACTCAATGGCACTTAACAACAACAGCAACTGAATTAGTGGTAAGGAATTGCCCTACCAATAGAAAGGCATGTGGCTCTAATCCACCAGCTACTCTGTAAGGATGGGCATTCTCCTTTCACATGCCTCACTGTATCTGAAAACATACAAAAAGGTCAGCTATAAATCGGGACTCAGTAGTATACTATAGAGCAGGAAGCCTCATTTTCCAAGCAGGACAGCTTGTGTTTATTCAGCAATCCTGACGTAAAGGAATCAGAGGCAAGCTGACTCTGGCTCCTGGTGCTCCAGCTGGGAGAGGATGACTATTTGCTCACCTGTTGGAGCTTTGCTTTCTTCACCTTTAAACTCAGCATAATCTGCATCGCGGATTATTGTAAATATTAAACAAAATTCTATTACTAGGGAGCCTGTGTTAGTAACAGTCTCAGTTTGGCACATTATAATTGACTAACAAGTGTTCAAGAAAAGAAAGCAAAGATACTCATTTGTGTAGATTGTAAATCATGATATATTATAGATAATGTTGATAAAAATGGGATTTCCATGATACTTAATTGTGCTCAAAGACCAAGAAGTATTCATTCCTGATTTGAGGGTTCAGTGTATCAAGGTTATATATTCTTTCACTATACCTGTTCAATCTACACTGAGCAAATAACCTTAGAAACAAGGCTGTATGAATAAGAACAAAGCATCAAGATTGGAGAAGTTTCATAAACTACCTGGCACAACCCTGCTTGCAGAAAACAAAGAGCTGTAGCACTTATTAATGAAGCGCCAAGATTTTTATTATTAATTACATCACAGCATAAGGAAAACAATAATCCTCACAACTGAACCAGTAAAATGGAGAGAATATTGTCATTGTCAATGGTTTAATTTTATCTGGATTCACAATCTACATTAATGCAAGCAGCAGTTGAGAAAGCAAGCAATGTACTGCAATGTGCATATCTGCTACCAAGGACCTCTTTAAAGTGCTATATTTAGCAAATATGTCTCTATAAAGACTACAATGTTTCTGGCTCACACCATGGTGTTTTCATTTGCTTCATTTACTTATGAAAGTTGGACAACAAATAAGAAAGATAGAATTGATGTATTTGAATTGTGGTGTTGGGAAACAATAGTGAATATATTATGGACTGCCAAAAGAACAAACCAATCTATATTGGAAGAAGTACACCAGAGTGCTCCTTAGAAGCAAGGATGGTGAGACTTCATCTCACATAAATTAACAAGAGTCATCAGTCTCTGTAGTCTGCAACCCATCATGCTTGGAAAAGTAGAGGGACAGCAAGAAAGGCCCTTAAGAAGAGGGTTTGACATTGATGAAAACAATAAGCATAAACAGCAGAAGTTAGGAGGGTGGCACTTGACTGGGCAGAATTTTGCTGTTGTACCTAGAGGAAAATCTGGTGGCTTAGTGGCAATAAGCTGTGCTGCAGTCCTGAAGGCACACAGTTCAAAGCTTCTCTACAGGAGAAGAATGGGCAATCTCCTCCTGAACATTTAACTGCCTCTGAAAATCTGCTGGAGGGTCAGCTATGGGTTGATTCCAACTCTATGGTACACAACAACAACATAGCGTTGAGATGAGCTGGAGTCAATTTGATGGCAACTAACCTCAACAACTCTGGTGGCTAAGTGGTAAGGAGCTGTGCTGCCAACTGGAAGGCATGTAATTCTAATCCATAACCTGCTCCATGAAAGAAAGATGAGCAATCTTTTCCCATTTGATGTAATGCCTTTGAAAACCTGCTGGAGAGTCAGCAATCAGTTGGTCCTGACTGGACAACACACAACAACATCAACAGCAAGTGTTAACAAGGATGATTTCAGTAATAGTCAATTTTCCCCCTATAATAACAAAGTCTTTCATTAATTATTATAAATAAATATTTAAGTAATAATAAAATTCTTTTTCTTTCTACCATGACATATCTTTCCAGAGAGGTAGTGAGTCTGCCTCCTGAGGAATCCTCAGGTAAATTCCATGCATATCTCATTCACTGACTCATTGCCCTTGAGTTGGAACTGACTCATAACAGACCCTCCAGTGGGTTTTTCAAGTCTGTAGATTGAAGAGGAAGACAGTGGTCATCTTTCTACACAGAAGTATCCAGTGGGTTTGAATAGCATTACTCCCAAGAGACTAGGCCACCAGAACTCTTTTTCTATACTATGACCCAAATTCCTCAAAGGAAAAAAGAGGTGAAAGACATTTTCTTAGTTCACATGACCAGAAAATTTTGATCCAGGGATTTGAAAAATCAGATCACTAGCTCTTCAACTCTCCATCTTACTGGCTCCTCGTGACCACCCTATATCATCTTCATCTCCTCAATTTCTCCCCTTCCTCTGCTCATAGATTTCTCCTTCCTCATAGGCAGTTCCCTATTTTCCTGTTAAGAGGAGGGGGCCTCCAGTTATGAAATCATCAGCAAAGTAATAGAAAATTTACACCTTATAACCATTTAGTAGTTGGAAACCATGTTCTATCTTAAATACATTGTAATACTTTGAGCAGATGAAAGACCCATTACATAACTAAAAGACAGATTTGGTGTTGGTTTTCCTCCCCTCCCCCCCCCACCTCGGTGCATGTGTTGGAATGGTCTTTGCAATTACTTGCTATGCATGAGAGAGCAGGACAATGACTAAGGATGACAGAAGAAGAATCAATGGCTTTGAGTTGTGGTGTGGACTGCAAACAGAACAAACAATCTGTCAAGGAGAGCGTGAAACCAGTCCTGCTCCTTGAAGGAAAGGATTTTGACTCTCTGTCTGACATACTTTGGGCATATTTCCAGGGGGAACGAGTCCTTGGATAGGGACATCACGCTGGGAAGAATGGAGGGTCCACACAGGAAAGGAAGACTCTGTCGAATACAGTGACTGTGATAATGGGGGCGAGTGTGTCAGAGACAGTGAGATTGGCTAGGGTAAACTTCAGAGCACATAGGGTCACTATAGGCCGTAGTCAACTTGATTGCACATAACAACAACAACAACACTTTGAGTAAGTTGAAACTATTAGAATAATGAAAGACTAAACATCTCTATTAAGGGGTACTAATCTTCCACATTCAAGATTTTCCTTATAGCATTGATTTAGTATTGCAACTTTATTTTATTAAATTTTGTTAATTTTAATGAACACTTACAGAGATTTTGGGTTTCCATTCATTCATTGTTGCACTATTTTCTCTACCCTCCCCCCAGTTCGTTCCTCTTTTTTTCTCCCCTTGAAAGTCTGTTTTAATTGTCCCATTGCCACAGTGCTTGGCAAAGCCAGTTCTGATTAATCTCCTTTGTCAATGTGTCCTTTGCCATTCCCTATCACTCCTCCCTGAGAGAGACTTCACCCTGATTCATAAGGAAAAGGGGATGGCGTATTCTCTTAGCTACTTCCTGCTGAAAAGGGATGCTGTAGGTTTCAGGGTGAAGATCTTCTCTCACTACTCTAAAGGGCCCCCTTGGCAATAGGAAACATGTAGACTATTGTGGAGATTGATTTTG